CAAAAGACCAAGACAAAATTAGAAGGAATGGAAAGAAAAAAAGCAAATAAGACTATACCTGAATTGGATTCATAAGTGCTTTATCCTTGCTCGTGGAAGGGGAGGAGTGCGTGTAGACCGTGTTACCGAGCGCAAAGCCTTCTTCACACAACTCATCAGAGTAAAAGAGTTAGCTTAATCCCACACTGAGCCCCATTGAGTAGAGACTGAAGCGGTCAAGGCGTCACTTACAGACTTCGTCTGTAAATCCTCCAAGGACCCCTTAGAGTTCTTACCCTCTTAGATACTTGACAAGTGGGAGGGAAGGATCGGACTAAGTGGGAAGACCATCTGGGGGCCTGCGCTAGCAATAGGGTCTTGGACCCTAAACTCTAACTTGTCCCTCGAGGTGGCAGCAAAAGCTTCCCCTTGATCAAGGGCAGCCCCAACGTCTTCTGAATCGCTTGGGGCTGCAGTAGATAGGGCAACTCCTAAACCTTTATCACGTTCTGCCACTTCCCAAGCCACCTTTTAAGCAACTTCAATTAGGTCCATGGGTGTAGGCTCAGGAATGGCAACGGCTTGGAAAGGGACCATCTGAAGATCGAGGCGCTGGGTCTCTTTCTCGTCTTATTGAATCAAACTCACTCTGCCATCATCAGAGTCTACTGACAGGATCATCGTCCAGTGGTGCTTATGTGTACGCTTTCCTTTCTAAGGTGTAAGGCTGGTTAGGAGGGGGTAAAAGCAGGTTGATCAAGCAGTAGGGGCGTCGTCTTCTTTCTTCTCTTAGCCTTAGGAGATAGGGATGGAGCCCGCTTCCTGTCATCAAGAATATCTCCTCTGTCAAGGTGATTGGAGGAGCTCTTCTTGGCTTTAGATTTTTTAGAGACCGAGGGAACAGAAACTTGGGAGGAAGCGTTGTCTTGCTCCATCCCCTAGACCATGGTCCTCAAGGAAGGGGCCATCGGGGTCTCAAAAGCAGTGAGAGCATTAATGTGGCCCTTAAAAAATGTCATCTGTGTTTGAAATTGTGTCCAATTATGGCCTACAAAAAACAAAGCAGGTTTAATCTAAGGAAACAAAGTAAGAAGGATAAAACTAAGACAAATGTGGAGGAAATATTTACTGGTGTGGCTCTTTATTATGCACTTAAGGCACTAGGGTTACCATTTGTTGAAGCGAAGGCAAGCATCTCTATCTACAAGTTTTACCTTACACTATCTCTGGGTGGTAAGTAGAACGACTATCTAGTCAATAGCCTCCCTATCCAATAGCTTTACATTGATTTGGGGGGATAGGCCCTAAGAGATGCACTGGCTCAGTCTAAACTGGCCCGTCACTTATTGAGGATGATAAGACTCTAAGTATACTTTAAGAGACTTAGAGGAAGAGGCAGTGTACGGCAGCCACATCTTTCTAGGAGTGGTGACTGAAAGGAAGATCTCATCCCTCAGGGGTTTGGCAGGCTTGTTCTTCTTCTCCATCATATACTTATACCAGGTAGGAAGGTGACGGTCAAGAATGTTGAAAGTTTTTAAGATCTTCCCCAAGGACCAGCTTTGCTGACAAAAAAACTCAAAAAAGTTCTTCGACTCAACCAGCGGATGACTACCCATGAGATAAGTGAAGGGATGGTTGGCGTGAGAATTGTCTGGGAATGGCTCCCATTGAAGGTTGGGGAAGTAGGCCGTTGTCTACAACTTTAAAAATCAGACGGGCCCATGAAAGTTGCTGAAGGGCTTCTTGGTCAGCAACTCCCTCATGCCGTTGTAGAGATGACATAGAAACATAGTCCTCAGGGTTATTTGATTGCCACGGAGCAGGGACTGGGCGATCTTTAAATGCAATTGCACAAGCTTCCCTCCTCCTGGGGCCAGGATCCATTGGCTTAATAGGATATGGAGACCAGGTGCTTCATGGCAGTAAAGGGCTCAAAGGCTGGCTTCTCGAAGAATAGCTCCATGATCTTCGTATAGGAGCCTGCGCCCCTAATCTTGTTCTCCAAATCAGCAGGGAAGGTAGTGTAGGAGTCATGCTTCTCGAGGATTGCGTAGAAATTCTCCTCCCTGGTGATGGGTAGCCTTAGGAACATAAAGACGTCTCATAGTGTGAGGGATATCAGATTGAGCTCGAAGATAAAGGCATTGTAGCTCGAAGCCCAGAAGCTAAGGATGGCTATTAGAAGGTCCATGGGGACTCGACATCGACCAGGGATAGCTAAATCAGGTCATATAGACGTATCTCCTTCCACTAAGGTGCATGATCTGACTTCAAACGCCTCACCCAGTTGACCCAAGCATGAGGAGATTGGGGCCAGTTCTTGAGTTTTTTGCAGGACAACTCAAGGGAGGGTAAGGTCGTTCGAGCCAAGACCAGGTTGCGAATAGAGGTCAATGGCTATAGATTTAGTTGCGTGGGAGCAGTGACTTTGGATACGTTGGGAGAAATTATCAGATGCCTGACGTCGCTCTTATTGGAGATTTAAAAACTCCAAGGCAAAGTGCTAGACAAAAAGGAAGCACATTTAGAATACTTTTCAATAAAATAGAAGGGCTAAACACGAGAAGCGAGAAACTTACCAAAAAACCATTAATTCGTGAAATGACAATCGTCCTAAAAAGAAATGAATGATTATTAGAGTAGGAAACCAGTCTAAAGGAAAAAAGGGTTTTTAGACCACTAGATACATACTGTCACGAGCCCGCCTAGTTGGTTAATCGAGTTTCGAATAGTCACCGGAGAATCTGGCAGACTACCAGCTGAAGTAGAAGAAGGTGTGGCGGCAGATGAAATAGTAGAAGTGGATGAAGCCATTTGAGAGATAGGGTAAGAGAAATATAGCAGACTGAAGACTTAAAGTTTAAGAAACGACAAAGAAAGCAAGAGAAGTGACTAGAATATAGAAACGAGTTTATATCGACAGAGGGCGCCAAAAAACAAAGTGACGTTTCAGTTTTTTCAAACGTGCCATGTGGCTTATGTTACCACCCATTGGCACGCAAGGGCATTGTTTGGGCTAAATATGAAACATCACTCAAATAGATTACAAGGTTAGTTGGGTTGAGTAATCAAAGTGTCAGGCCTAATATAAACAAAAGGGGCCGCCCCTGAAGCTTAATAAAGTCCACAACAAGTAAATATGCCAAAATCCCATTAGTTTCAAATATCATACCGTTAGCACGAAGACACGATGCTAAGTGATGCCGAAATCTATGCCCAAATGGTTTAGTGAAATAGGCTGGTTATCAAAATAAAGAGACTGTGCTATAAGTTTCGCGAGATTCCTGATTCTTCGACAGAACGTGCTAAGTAGAGAAGGCTAGTCAACACTCAATCAAGACTCGCATATTTTACATTCATTAGCCCTTTTCAGTTCTTAGTTTTTAGTCTGTAATTTTCTACGCTTCAATAAAATTATACACTTGTTCTACCAAAGCCTTATATCTTTTTACATTCGAGCGAACTATGATAAAGGAACTCGAGATTCTTTTCGTTATCTATTGAGATTCAACATCTCTGGCACACCTGATATTTATTGTTTAATCATGAACATATACCAAATTTGTAAACCATACAAAAGTAGTTTCAAATTAGTATAAAGGTAATTTCATAGAGAAATTTAATTTCAAATAAGTCAATTGAGAACTCATAGCCATTATTACATTTAGCGAGACTAAATTATCATTTTTTATTTTAGAGTAATTTACTTGTCATTGTCCCTAAAATATAAACATAGTATACTTTCTCAAAAAAAAAATATTTATATTAAAATTTTTTTTACATATATTTCTATTAAATTTTTGACCAAAAATTTTAATATTAAAAAATTTAGAATTGATAAATTATGCACATTTTTAAGCCAATTTTATGATGTTAAAATCATACATAATTCCTTTAATATTTTTAAATATATGCAAATATTAATGTAACAAAAAAAGTTTAACTAGTTATTTTAAAAACTTTAACCTATTTTATTTCAAATAGTTATTTGTTTAAATACACATATATATAATTTTATAACAAATAGATATATGGTCAAGTTTAAATATAAAAGGATTTCACCAAGAAATGAAAGAATTATATATTAAAAATAATTTTAAAAGAATTAATATAATTTATTTTTATATAATTACTTTCGACTACTTTGAGTGTAAGAGAATAATGAGAAGGATAATTTAAGAAAATACTTTTATCACATAACAAATATCAATTTAATTAACTAGGCGTACATAAAAGACTAATCAAACAGGACTTCAACCTAACCCAAATTCTTGAGTCAAGCAATGTGTGATCTAGTCTGATTCTAATATAACATAATAAACTCAATTAATATAATAAAATTACTTATAGTTATATAAAATTTATCACAATAACAATAATTATAAATCCATAACAAGAAGAAAAATGTTTCAGTTACAATACAAATGACTTAGATTAAACAACTTTCAACATGTTTAAAATTCATTATACCAAGTTAATAACAAATTTTACAAGTAAAAAAAGAAAATTGAGGTTGGTCAATGTTTAAATTTTACTCAATATTTATGGCCTTACAAGTATAAAATATAAAAAATTGCTAATTATTATTATAAATTAAATTATTATAATAATAATTAATAAATTAATTATAATTATATTAAATAAATTTATAAGTTTAGGTTAAGTGATATGAATGTCCAGCCTCTTGTTCAATCCAATTTTAAAAAAAAAAAGGTTTGATAATTTTATCCCTGGAAGACCAAATTTTAGTTGGATTGCAGAGGATCTGATTTATCTTGAATTAAATTGGATCGAAGTGGACCGAAAGGGGGTGCGAAGCTACCGTCATAGTGTATTTACTATTTGCCTATGCCAGCTGTGACGCGGTCACTAAAAAATGAAATTCCTCAAAGTCAGCACTGTAATTGAAATTAATTTTTTTAATCTTTTTAATAATTCGGCAAATGAGAATGAGAGCAATAATAATCCGCCCTTCCAGTGCGTTCCACGTCTCCCTTTGAGCCTTTCCTTCTCCGATCTATAAAATTATCCCGTCTCCAACGTTAAAAGCCTTCTTTTTCCCCATCTTTTCACCTAACCCTAATTCTGTGCTCTCCTCTCCTTCAACTTGCGCCCGGCCGTGGCTTTGTCGGCTCGGTTTCTCTTTTTCTTCTCACCATCTTTCCATCTCCTTCCTCTCCTTTGATTGTTATCATTTTCGGAAGATCGTGTCTCTGATAGTCAGGTTTCTCTCAGACCTAGGGTTTCGGTTGGCTATCATAGCTTGATTGGGTTTGATTTGTGCGTTGAGGCATATGCCTCTGCAAACTACCTCAATGTTTTCGGAATTTCTATGATCTTCGCCAACCCCATGCGTCGATTTCGTTTGCTGCACTCCTTCTCTGTCGTGTTTCTGTACTGGTTCTATGTTTTCTCATGAACTGCATCTCAATCCCTTGATCTACACATTCGGTGTTTGAATCCTTGTTTTCTTTAGTATCTTGACATTAGATCTCACAGTCCTATTTCGATTAATTATTAACGACCACCCATTCGTGTCTGTTATTCGATTAAGAAACCCCCTTGTAAGTTATAGGAGAATGGCTTCGAATCACCGTCCAGCCAGTTCAGGATCTGATGACCCAAGATCTGATGCTATGGACGAGAGGAAAAGGAAGAGGATGCAGTCTAACCGTGAATCTGCGAGGCGATCGCGGATGAAGAAGCAGAAGCAACTGGAAGATCTGACCAATGAAATCAGCCGATTGCAAAGTGCTAACAGTCAGTTAGTTCAGAGCATTAAGGAAAAGGAGGATGCATACAATGAGATCGAGTCCAACAACACTGTCCTTAGGGCACAGACTATGGAGTTGTTCGACCGATTGCGTTTTCTGAACTCGATACTTGAGATCGCTGAAGAGGTCAGCGGGCTCTCTGTTGAGATCCCCGAGATACCAGATCCTCTGCTGAAGCCATGGCAGCTTCCTTATCCGATACAGCCGATTACTGCTTCTTCAGACTTTGTCCTGCATTGATCTGAGGCTTGTTAGTTCGTGCATTTAGTCATTTATCCCTTTCGAGTTGTCTATTGGCATGATGCATTCTAATTGTTCTGTTTGTTTCTGATGAGTCTGTTAGTCTTCCTCTGTTGGGTTTCTTTAGCCAAATGATGTTTGGGAGTGCTTTTGTCATTTTTTATATGGTTTCTTGGCGTAGTTTGTAGTTTAATTGGTACCTTGTTGTCTGGTATTGTGAAATGCGTGTGCTTTTTATGTTATTATCTTTGTATGTTTAGTGCTTATCAACAAAAAAATTATTTGCATTGACGAATGGCGCTCCTTGCATGGTAGTATCATATTGCCGTAGAACATACCGACCTGTGCCTTTTATAGCTCTTCAGTGTGGTGATTTTGAAGTTGCGCTGGTTTGAAATATCGTTCTTCTGACGTGGGAGTGACGATTATAAGCAATTGAACATCGAGGTGGTGTTTTGTAACAATTTAGGCGAATAAATCAAGTCTGCTACTAGGTTACTAATGTAATGTTGGGTAACTAGAATAGTATTTTGTAAAAAGGAAATGAAAAACATGTCTATTTGAATTTTTTTTTTCATACATTTCTCTTTTTTTGAAATAACATTATTTAAGTTTTCAATCAATTTCTCAAATTCTGCGAGGGCTTTTAATTTCTGAAATTTCGTGGATTTAAATTAAAGCTAGTTTGTGTGAGCTACAGGTTAGGTAATTCATTAACAAAATCTACCAAAGCTCATCTTTCTTTGTGATCATGCTCTCGTTAAATCACTAACTTGTTAAGCGATGGCGTGAAGGGCTAGAATTTGCAAGCCTCTTGTATTCTTCGCTATCCTAAAATGACCAATGGGTTGAAATCCATTCTTGAATGTTTTAATTCTTGAGATGATGTTTCTTGCATTAAGCACTCCCAAACTACTATTTTACGCAGTGCATGATTATTTGATTAATTGTGGGGTTATCAAGTTTATTAGAAAATACGTATTATACTATGATTGAATTCTAACAAGAAAAGTACAGGATTATAGTTGAAGTTGATTCTATAAATCGTAATTGTTATCATTCGATTGAAAGTGCACCTTAATCCAGTTCCAGTGAGTCATTTGAAAACACCAATGAGGTATCGATTGAGGTGATTCGGATATTTCCGTTGTCTTCCTAATTTGGAAAGCCTTTGAGGAATTAAAATGAATGGATTGGAAAACGACAACGAAGTATCATTTGAGCTGATTCCGATATTCCCATGGACATCCTAATTTGCAAAGAGCCTTTTTAGGATTTAAAATGAATGGATCCCAAATAAATGGTATGACCATATCAATTTTAACGAATAATCTTAAAGCAACAACTATTTGTATAACTTTAACAAGCGTAGCTAGCTGCAGACCATGACAACCAAGGTATCCTTTGAACTGATTCCAGTATTCTTGTAGTATATCCAGTGTCTTGTTATGAGCAATGTTTCTGAGAGAGAAACAAACTCTTAAGTTGTTGGATAGGAGTGTTTTGTTCACTATTATTTGCTAGGGCTTTTGCAAACGCTAGAAAACTTTTATTTTCGAAGGCAAATTTGTGAGTGTGGATAAGATTGTCTCATGAGCCGAGGCGATGATTGCAATGTCAAGTGAGGCACGACAGGAGCTATTTAGGATTTTCTAGGTAATTCCTTGATGACCGCGAATGTGATGGGATGGAGTCCATCGGAAGAGGGGTGGTTGAAACTTAACGTTGATAGAGCCTATGCTTCTACTGAAAACATCACTGCCTGTGGGGGACTGTTGCAAAATGAGAGTGGTAACTTACTCTTTGGGTTTATGTATCGACTTGAAGGAGGTGATAGCTTAACTGTGAAATTGTGGTCAATTTTGGTTGGACTAAAAATGATGTGTGATTTAGGCTTTAGAAAGATAATTCTTGAATTTAACTCTACAAATGCCTTGGAGCTTGCTACTATGGAACCTAACATGGAGCACCTTGACTACGTTCAACTACATGAAGTGCACCAACTTCTTTAGCGTGATTGGGAGGTTTATCCTCAGCATATTCATAGGGAATGGAATCGAGTAGTGGATTACCTCGCCAAGCAAGGCTTGCTACGGGACCTTTTTTGTAATTGGTTCTTGAACCCATGAATGCTCTTGTAGAATTATGGATTCTAATGAGGTTAGGAGTAACTATGTAGCTTGGCTACCCCTCTTTTATTTTAAAAAATATATATGCAATGTTTTCTCTCATAAGCTGAGATAGATCCACAGCACCTCTAAGGTACAAAAAAAAAAGAAGTTAAATTTACTTGTTTTTTCTTTGTTAAATTTAATTTTAGCCCCCACCTATAATAAAGTTTTGCATTGTGGTCCCCAATAAAGTTGGTTCTAGATCCACGCTTATGAGTCATATTTAATTGATTAGATTCACGAAAATTTAAAATGTTACAACCATGATGATTAAGATTGAATACAAATAGTTTGAAATTAATTAAATGAGTTAATTTATTATTGGATCAGATATCTAATTAATTGGTCTTTCATGTGTGCCTGATTTCTTTTATATCGTTTCATCTTAAGTCAAATCTGACCTTCCCAAACTAACGAGAAAAACTCCCCCCAACTCCCTTCTTTTTTCTTAATCTTTATTGTTGCAATCTGTAAATGAATAGTTGACATTGTATATGAGATGATATATTATTTATTAGTTATAAACAGAATAATCTTCTATAAATCTTATATTTATATTTAATGCATATTAATTATTTAGTTTTTATACTTTTAACTTGGCAACAACTAGTTCTTGAATTTTGACTCAAACATAGTCCGGTTTTTAAATTTTGACTTAACACAACTCAACCATTATAATTTTAATAATTTAAAATAAATAACTTTATTTTTATTCCTTTTATTTTCTAAAATATAAAAACCAACAATTTAAACAGTTAAATTATAGATAATGAATTGTAACAAGTTAAAATTTAGAAATTAAATTGTAATTAAATCAAAACTATGAGAGTAAGTGACAATGGTTAATTTTTTTTTTCTTATATCTATATCCACTTATATCTATATCCTTTCATGTTTTGTACGTTGTATGGAAAAGAGTGTAAGAATTTAATTGCATCAAAAGGACAAACTATGGTGATTTATTATTATAAACCATTGTAATATTGAAGCTCATGGTATTATCAATGCAGTCATCACAATCAGAAAATTTAACGTTGTGAATCCCTCTGGTGTCCTGTTGCCAAACCTATCGAAGCATCACCGATGGTGCTTCAAACTTCATACGCTCCGACGAACTGCACGATGTTATGATCAATTGGCTGCAGTAATTAGTATGATCCGAATACTATCCTCGTCAATCTCGTTACAATTTCTAAGGTTTAAAGCAACTTTCATTTTACATTACATGTAAACTTGGCCGAATACTTGTATAAAAATAATAATAAAAGTAAAGTGGAGATAACGAGAGAGGAGGATTTGATCCCGTCTCGCTTGAAGCTTTTCAAATTTCCAAAAGTTGGCCAAAGGAATATATGGGCCTGTTTGTTTTATGTTTTTAATTTTTTTTTAAATATTTTTGAAAATAAAAAAATTTAAAAAAACTTGTTTAGACAAGTATTTTTGGTTTAATTGTTTTCAAAAACAAAAAATAAAAAAGTTATTTTAATTTTAATTTTTATTTTTAAAATATACTACATTTGGTTATTAAAAATTATAACTATCCTGATTATATTTATACTTCTTTTCACATACGGAAATATGAAATTCAGACTTATGTGACAAGCCACGGTCCTGAAAGAATCACTAATGAAATACCACACCAGGGGCGACATGGGCACGTAAAAAAGGAAAGAGAGGTATGGGGCTTCTCTCACTTTTGGCATAGCGGGCCCCCAGCGGGAGGCTCGCACAACGGGCTATTAGTTAAGTGGTAGAGCGCACCCCTGATAATTGCGTCGACAGGTTTAGGTTCGGCCTCAATAGAAAAATAAAAACGAAGCACCTAACAACGTATCTTCACAGATCGAGAACTACGAGATCGCCCCTTTCATTTTGGGGTGACGGCGGGATCATACCATTCAAACTTTTTTTTCATGCTTTTCTCGAGGGTTTGGAGAAAATTGCAATCAATAGGATTTTCCTAATCCTCCCTTTCCAAAAGGAAGAATTGAATTGGCATCGAGACAACAAAATTTCTTTTATTGAAGAGACCCGCGGTTCTTTTGTTGAAATAAGTACAAATGGTTTAATTTGAGATTTTCTACGAATTGACTTAGTGAAATCCCATATTTCGTATATCAGAAAAAGGAATGATCTGTCCGGTTCAAGATTGATCGCTGATAATGAATCAGATCGTACTAATATCAATCCATTTTATTCTATTTATTGCAAGGCAAAGATTCAACAATCACTTAGCCAAAATTACGAAACTATTCATATCTGTTGAATAGAAATAAGGAATTTATATCTGCTTATTATCATTATTATTAATTTATTTTTTAATTCTAATTTTTTTAATATTAACTTAACGAAACAAATTTTTATTTTGTTTTGTTTTGAAAAATAATTTTAAAACTGTATTATAAAAATGTTTTTAAAAACAAAAAATAATAACAGAAATCAAATAGGCCTATAACTCTAAACTATTGCTGTCTGTATAACTTTCTCAGTGAAGCAGCCACCACGAAAAACAGTTTCATTAATTTCAATCAGGCAAATGTGTAATCGGATTCCTATATATATATATATATATATAATGATTTTATTTATTAATTGCCTTTCGTGAGAACAAAAAAAAAAAAAAAGAGGAGGCAAGTGATTCACAATTAAATAAAAATTAAGTAATAGCGGTGTGCTCGTATAACGCAACAGAGACATAATATGATCGCCACCCACAATTTTCGCTATCAATTATCGTAAGTGCGGCACTCATCGGTCTCCGGGTTGTCCTTGCAGTAGTTCTCGAGCGGGTCGGACTCTTTCTTATTGTCCCTCGCATGGCTGGCCGCCGCGCTCAGCTCCTCCACCTCGTCCCATGCCGCCGCACACTCACCGCCAGCTGGGTCACCGGAGCATGCCTCCTCCGCGTTCTTTATGCTTTCTTCAACCTTGTCGGATATACTTTCCGGAGCAGCACGCACAGGTCGAGCAGACCTAAGAATTCGACCCGACCCGATCCTGGCCAGGCACCTTTGGTTGAGCAGCAGCGGGAACTTGACGGTGTGTGAGTTTTGCAACAAGTCTGATGCCCTGGGCACAAGTGAAAGGCTCACACCACTTATTGCTGCCATTCTTGTTCCTCTCCTAAGTCGCGATTTGGAACGAGGATGATATTTAATGAGGAGAAAGCATCTGAAGGCATGCATACATATTTATAGATGAAGCCGGGGGATCTGGGCTTAAAAATCAGAGGGACTCTTATCACATGACGATCAGTTACGTTCTGCCACGTGGAACCTTGTAAAGATATTTTGCTGTGAGGGGGAAAAGGGGAGGTCTTGTTTTAGAAGTTCCACATGTATGGGATGATGGAAGGCAGCAACTAGAATTCCGTCCGCTAATGTATTGTGGGAAGGAAGAAGATCAGATCAGATCGACGAGTGTGGGAGGAAGGAGTCAAAAATAATCGGAAAAATCTTGATATTTTGGTGCCTTTGATGCCATTTGTCCACTGTTTTTTTTTTGTCTGCTGGTGAAAATATCAATCGTCCATCTGCATGCTCACGCTCCTGTATGTTTCGCCAGCCACATGTTACTTGACCAACGATACATTGGGGGATCGATTTGGGGGCAACATGACTTGCCGTGAAAGAAATTGGCTAGTTGATCATCTTTTATGTGTGTTTAATTTTTAATTTATCAAAAGTCTATTTAACAAAAATTTACTTAACAAAAACTAATTTAGTAAAAATTAGTTATTATAATAAAATTTATACTTAAATAAATTTTTTTAAAAATTAGTTTAGTACACTAAAAATTATTTGAATTATGATAATAAAATATATTTTTGAATGTACAATTATCAAAAAAGACATTAATTTATGATGATTTGTAATTTTTATTATACAAACCTAATATTATATTTCAAATATTTAAAAAATGTTATAAAGATTTTAAATAACATAAAATTTAATTTATAATGCTAAAAATTTAATCTCTAATTATTTATATTTTTTTAATTTGTAATTTTAAAAAATATGATAAAGATTTGTAATTTTTATTATACATTAATGCTAAAACTTAACATGATTAATTATTTAATTTATAATGCTAAAAACTTGATACCTAATTAATAATTGAAATGATAATTACATCTTTAATAAATTAACTATTTTTTTAAATAAAAGAATAAGAAATTAAACTTAAGGCAGTATGGTTACATAATATAATTTTCACATCCACTTTTTAAAAGTTTCAAATAATTATGTTTCTTTTAATTACTGTTTAAATGTGATATTATGATGTGCTTTCTTATAAAATATTTTATTCAAATAACTTTTAATATTTTAAAAGTAAAAATTTTACTTTTTAAATATAAAACGCAAACAAATCAAACAGCCATTTTGTTGTATGCATGCCTTAAAAAGATGCGCAGGAGTACAGGACTAGAACTTGAAAAGAGATTTTTTTTTTCTTCCCAGTATTGGAAACTTGTAATGTTAACATGAAATTGTTAATGTTGCATGGATTAATTTTTGAAATACAGAGAATATAAATGAGGATGACTTTCAACTTCAACGGCAAGGAGTAGTGCATATTCAAAATTTCCAGCAGAAGGATTTCTAGTGGAGAAATTCACGTTCTAATATTCACGCAGATGTTAAAGAAATAAGTATCTAAGCAATAACCAGAACAGTCAAATAATCAAAAGAAAATTTTTGCCCCGACAATGATAAACGCGCTCGCGCGCGCGCGCGATTTTTCCTTAGAAGTCTTTTGATCTAATATTAAATATATTATATATATTATTCACTCGTAAAACGAAGCCACGTATTGAAAAAAACGTGTGTCTGGAGACGGGGAAGAAGTCCTGAAGCATTGTAATCTTCATTTTGATGGTGCAAAAAGCTAACAGCAATTCGCCACATTGGATGTGTTAATATAATAATGTTAGTGATCATTTTCTATTAAAATATTCATATTCAAGAGTTTTCAACCTTCCAAATCCCTGATGGTCAAAAAACTCTTTAAACCCCTGATCAGTGCATGGAGTGACTTTCGAAATCAGGATTTTGACTTCTGCGTATCAACTCGTGCATTTATGACTATTTATTGCTCCCAAAGTAATTTTGTCAAGAATGAACCTCATGTTAAGAGGGAAAATAGTTTCTACTCTGAAATTAAACTCACCCTTGTCTTCACGATATGATCGAGGGTTGAGCAATCAAGTTATCGAGGGAGACGATCTACCGCATCCCGCAGAAACGTTCAAATGCTAATTATCACTGCAATCACAACGCGCATGCAATTCATGCAATTTATTTTATTTTATTTTATTTTGGTGAATTGATGTCTACTTCTGCATATGATTTAAATGAACTCGTAAGTCTGGAACCTGGATGGCACTTTTATCTGGTCAACCAAATGCCTTGATCATAGTGATCAGAAGATTAAGCGAGCAACTCACACTTAATCTGCTTGTACTCAAGGTCTAGCACACCCTAGCCAGGCTACGTCAAATTTTATTTCAAATCAGTACAATTTTGGCTTTTTTTATATATATGCTATAAATAATAATAATAAAAAAAACCTAAATACAGCACTGTGAAAAGCATTTACTCAAACACTACCAAAAATTGATCAGAATGGGAACAAGATTATATTTGTGAAGAGTTCATTTAGGTCACGAATAATTTTGCAATCAGAAATTATTTTCTTAATGAAAAGTGAAATCATTCCCTAAGTAAATGAGATCAGCTTTTTTTTTTTACTAACAAAACATAATATTTTCTATTCTACTTTCTCTCAACTTACTCCATCGAAAGTTGAATTGCCTCTTTCACAAATTCCTCAACATGGACTGAGCAACGATGTGGTGATTACTTGTTTATCAAACCATCAATTAAAAATGAAAATATACAGGTGAACAACAGCCTCAAGATTTTGGTTACATTTCAGCTTTATCATTATCATCACCTTTTTTCACCTCTCTTCATCCTACTCAATTTGAGTTTCATTACATGCCATCCCCCTCATCATCTAAAGTAGGTAATCCAAGCAAGTCAGGCTCAATTCAAACCTAGCTTACTCAAATCAGGCTTAAAGTATCCTGCTTTTTAAAAAATCTCATATAATTATGCCCAGCCTTAACTTTTTTGAGCAGGCATGCTCAACATACAAATATAACTGGTAATTTTAGTAGTCAAATTTGTTTGAATCAAGCTTAAAGTATCATACATGTAAAAAAAAAATCCATATGGTCAAGCCTGACCCTAACCTTTTTTCAGCGAACTTAGGCTAGCCTATTGAGCTTAACACAAATTATCGACTCTATTGATATCATCCCTTTTCAATTCACTTGCTTCTACTCAATTTAGATCATTCATGTTATTACTTAATAATCTTGCACTATTTTTGGCTAAATACAACATTTCTACTTTTGAATGATCCAAATAGTATAGGATTATTAAATAAAGACAAGAACAATCCAAATATTTTGACATGTAATGAGATTGACTAAAATTTTAAGACTTTTGTTCTCCTACATTTTTACTTTCAATAGGTCATTGAATAGAAAAGTAACCACCACATCATTTACTTGGTTTATCTCAATAAATTTATGGATGAGACAGCTCAACTTTTGATGGAGCATGTTGAAAAAAAGTAGAATAAAAAATATTATGTCTTGTTAATAAAAAAAAAAGCTGAACTCCAATTTCACTTTTCATTAAAAAAAATAATTTTTGATTGCAAAATTTTTCTTGACCTAAACAAGTTCTTCACAAATATAATCTTGTTCCCAATTTGAACAATTTTTGGTATAGTATTTGGGTAAATACTTTCAACTAGGGCTATGCAAAAGTCTGATTGTCTTATCTAACCCATTCGAACCTAAAAGTCTTGTCTTGTTTGGTTTAGTAAAAGATTGGTCCAAACGACTAAAGAGACCAAAAAAACCATACTAACTTCTTGAGTTAGACCAAACAGGAGACTATGCTCTCAAATCACTTGATTCAATTTGATCTTATAAAATTATTTTAATATAATTTTAATTATTTTTAATATACTTGAATAGTTTAAAGTTTGATCTCAACATTTCTCTTATTCACATTTTACTCTTCTATTTAATATAATTTGCTGTAATATATATTAGACATATTGTTGAAGTTTATTAAATGTTGTTGTTACTATTGTTGAAGTTATAAATTTGAATCATTTAAATTTTAACTAAAATGTTTTTGTTGTGGTTGTTGGATATTATTATGAATTTTTTATGATTATAAGTATTTTTATTATCTTAAATTTATCATAATGAATGAATTGTTATCTCTCATACAAGAAAAAAGAAAAACTAAATGAATACTAAATTATTGAGACTACTCTTCTAATCCTATAGACCAAATTCAATCTCGTTAATCTTCAGGTTACAACTGAAGTAGACCAGACTATAAGTTGACTAACTCAATATTTTTCATGAAAGAGATTAAATTTTGGATTAGACTAAAATTCAGTATTACTCAATCTTTTGTGTACCCCTACTTTTCATGGTGTAGTAAAAAGCCTAAAACTGTAGTAAAAAGCCTAAAACTTCAACCATCCACGCATATGGCATGAACCTTTCATTTTACCTCCCCTAAATCAAGGGAGTCTCGTCCAAAAAGCAACTTCAAAACTTATGAGCTGATTCCCAGAAATCCTTAACAATATTGAAGTCAAACCTGGCAAATCCATTGTTCTCATTCAAATTTACGAAATCACACAAACTGCTAAAAATAGTTCCTTGAAAAATGCATTGCCTAAAGGCACCATAAGTTCATAACATAAAAGATTTTTATAGGCCTTTTGGTATCACAATGCCCATAACTTTCTATACCACAGCAAATTAAAAAAAATGTTTGAATCTTGCCCTACCTATCCCTAGTCAAATAAAACATTTTAATATTTCCCTCAAAGTGCAGTAAGGTTATAACAAAGCACGTAGTTCTACACATAGGAAGAATTTTATATCGTGAATTCTATTTCTATTCTATTTATTTTTTAAGAAAAATTGAGATTCGAAATATTCCTATTCTTAAATTTAAAAAAATCAAAATAAAAAAAATAGAATTCGAATTCAAAATCTTAATAGAAGATTTTTTTTGATTATCAAATTCAATCAATTAAATTTTGAAATTTAGAAATATAT